TGGCGCTGGTGTTCCTGGTGAGTGGGATCGTCCTTGTGGTAATCGCCTACACCATCCCACGGGAGCCCAAAGTCGACCCTGACTCGGTTTCGGCGCGACAGATGGAGAAGCTGGAGATGTACTACGCCCAGCTTGGCTCCCACCTGGATAAGTGCATCATCGCGGGCCTGGGCCTGCTGACCCTGGGAGGGATGTTCCTGTCCGTGCTGCTCATGGTGTCCATCTGCCGCGGCGAGATGTACCGACGCAGGGCGGCATTCGTTCGACCCAAGAGGACTTACGGCTCCATCAACCTGAGGATGAAGCAGCTGGCGACTGGAGAGGCGAGGTTAGGTGAGGGCGGGGATGGAGGCGAGGAGGTTTTGGTGGAATGCGCAGAGACGCGGAATAACGTACAGCCAGAGCCGAGCCGGGACTCCAAATCAGTACCGGGACCAAGCAAAAACCCTCCTCCTTCTCTTCCTGCTGCTTCTTCTTCTTCTTCTTCTGCTGCACGTGGAGTCAACTAGCTCCACCCTCTGCCTTCCTCTGCGCGATCCCCCAGGTGCATTATGGGGATGCAGGTCGCCCGTTTGTGCCGAGGGGAGAACCCCATCTTAAGCAAGAGACTTCCTGCCGGAGCTGTTACCCGGCTTGTAGGGATGAACTGAGCTTAAGGGATATTTATTCTGACCAATCACAAGGGATGTATGACTTTACAAAAGAGGGCTCAACTGGGTGGAAGACGAGAGGTAAGCCTGTGGCAATGTGGATAAGAGCACATGTGGACATGAACGGATGCATATCAAAGATTAAAATGAAGATTTTGAATCCTAGTATGTTAATCAGATTAATACAATATAAAGCACATTATGATATAAAGCACCGCAGAAAGTAAGATGAACATTTTATTGTGAAAATTCTTTACTGATGCTGAAAGGAAGTTCGGTAATTAAATCTAGCCATATTTGAAGCCCTGACCAGCAGGTTTACCTTAACACACTCACACTAAATACTCGGCTTGCAACGCTGCTGTGAATAGCACTATAACAGACTTCACAGTAAATTACTGGAAAAGAAAGAGCAACTCGCAGTCGTACAAAAAAACAGAGGCAACAGTTTTGAAAGCTTGGCGACGTTCACCTCCATTAATACAGAAGATTAACAGCAGAAAACCCTGAAAAAAGCTTAAAATGTTCAGTTTAAACCTGCATTAAGCAAAATAAGTGACTAATTAAAAAGATGGAACAGAGCTCGTTTGGCTCCTTTTAGCGGCTTGTTTTGTTTTTCTGTGTGATGTGGTTTAATGTTGGGAGGTGGATTCAAGCTGGAAAGGTTCTCAATTCGTTCCATCTGATATTTCTGTGACTTTTTTGTAGTAAAACTGTCTTTGCTTACTTGTAATATACATTTATTATCATATAATTGCTGATTTTTGTGCCCACATGATTAATGGGACCTTGTTGGAGTTTGTTTTTGATTTTTTTTTAGTTGCTAAAAGCTCCACTGTGTTCCCACTTCATTCGTTTGATGTTTGCCTTTTTTCTCTCTATAATGGCAGCCTGCTGGGGCTGATCAGAGTTGTAGAGTGGCATTATGATTCATTTCTGCTTGTGTTTGTGATTATTTTTTCCTCCATTATTTCCTCTCTTTATCTTAGCTCCTTGTTCTTTTGCTGCACGTCACTGCCCTGTGGTCGCCAGCTCACCTCTGGCTTTGTCTATCAGGGTTTTTGACAAACACCTAAACAAGAAGAAATCTTTTACACAGTTCAGAAAATCTAAGAGGAGCTGCAGATTTAGCTAATAATGGATCTGACGCTGCAAGCTTTCTTAAATTTTCAGTTAATTTGTTGTAAAGGTGTCGGGTGAAAATGCTCATGTTCAGATTCATCACAGCTGTTTGTGTCTTTGTTGATATTCTGCCAGCAGATTTTTAGTAGAGGCAGAAAAAAACCTCCACGGGGAACTTTTAAGCCATCAAATATTGATTCTCTTATTGGCCTCAAACGTCCAGAATCCATCTGTCTATAACCACACAGCACATGCTGCTGCTGCTTTCTCTCACTGTAAGTACAGAAAATGGCAGCCCAGTGAGAAATACTCCTCTGTGCATTGTCTGGCTTTAACTCGCCAGCTTAAAAGGCGATTATGCCCCCTTGTGGTCAGAAATTGCTTAATGCAGCTTTAACGGTTAGCTGGCTGCAGCGAGAGCTAGGAGGTAACGATGAGAGGTGTTAGCCTGGCAGGTGCAGAAGTGATACACGTTACCCAGAAAGCATTGCTCCAGGCGTCAAAGAGCATAGACGTCTGTAATGATTTCTTTTATTTTCTTATTTTTCTCTTTGACAAACAGTTTCTGAGCAGATCTTGGTTGGAAATCACGGCTTTTTTATTTTTACAGCAGACACTAGATGAAGAACACAGTTTGTTTGTTGTTGTTTTGTTTTTGTTTGTTTTGTTTGTTTGTTTGTTTTTTATCAAAGAAGCATTTCAAAATCAAAATTTTAAGCCACAATAACGAGTAATTTAACAGGGGTCACATTCATTTTTGCAAGCGACAGAACCAAAAAAGAAAATGTGTAAAAATCGACTTCTACAACAAGCCTGTTTTATATAAAAAGTGTCAGTGAATGCAGCATCAACAATAAGCATCGTGTCACATATCTGGTGTGTCGTGCTGCATCATCCAAAACTGTTGCCTCGTGGTTACTGATCAGCATTTTCTGTGAGCATCAGCTTCCACAGCAGAGACTCCATCAGAGAGGGAAACTTCATCTATAAGCAGCAGCTGCTTCTCCAGAACTTGAAGTCATATTTATATAAAACTACCCTGTGCTACACGCTAGACTTACATAGACTTTATGGTTTGTGATTTGAAAGTGCGCATGAACTTTTTTAGACTGAGCAGTTTTTATGATCAGTGGTGGACGAACACTTCAGATCTTTATTTAAGTAAAAGTACTAAACACAAGAAAGAAGTTAACTCGAAGGGGACCTGTTGTAAATCCTTATTTTCTGTCATATATCCTGTTACAAAGATAGAAAGTCACAATACTCAGCTTTGGTCTGTATGAAGTCACAAAGAAAGGATATCCTTCATATGGTCTTTTCATTCAGAGAGCACAGAAGCCCCGCCCACCTGCCTTTAAATATATTCTATTTTCAAGGCAACATCCAGTTTAAAATAAGTAAGGATTATTTTGAACTTTAAATCATGCAAAGCTATTTTGGCAGAGAACAAAAATATGAAGCAGGATGTGAGCAGAATTGGCTCCCTTGATAGTAATTGTGCACATTTTGCAAACTTCACGTTGATTACAAAGCACAGATCCATTGTTTCATTTGTACATTTAGACAACCGAGAGAAATGTTGGTGTTAAAGAGAGTGAGTGTTTATTTTATCGAGTAAAAAACTGTAGAAGAAAAAATGCTAATAAAACAATTTAAAGGACAAAAATAATTAACTTCTATAACTTAATGTTTGAGCTCTACTTGTGTTTAATTTATAATGATCCCTATAAACAGATTCTGTATGAGTATGAAGACATTTTTGGGACAGGAAGCCTTTTGGTTTCTGTTTGTACTCCAGGCTTTGGATAGATGCGGGTAAACAGTTTATGTAGGGAGGAAATGCAAGATTACATTTGTCAAAGTATGTTAGATAACCATTGTGTAGTATCTTATGACAGTTTTTTATTAATTATAAAAGAAATTACAAATGGAAATCGTGGCCTGGCTGGTACCACAAAATTAGCCATTATACCCAGTGGCTAAGTTATCAGACATCCCAGTGGGTTCCCAGAATTAATTACTTGTGCCTACACAACTTCCATCCATCCATTTATCCAATTCAGGGGCACAGGGGAGCTGGAGCCTGTCCCAGCTGTCATAGGGCAAAAGCCCGGGTACACCCCGGACAGGTCACCAGACTGTTGCTTTATTCTGGTGTTTATCATAATGATAAACATAATCATGAAAGTAACTTCAGCTGCCAAAAAATACAGTGCAGAAAAACTAAAGTAAGCGCCACTGAAGGTAAAGTACCTCAGAGTTTAGTTACACTCCACCACTGATTATAATCCGAACGTCTATGAAAGAGTCAAAAGCCTAAAATGGGTAAAAAGCTGATTTCATCTTAAAGAAGAAACATTAAAGTGACTTGTGGATGTTTTTGAGTGGATTGAACCTTTAATGACACCACTTATTTGTATTATATGTACACTGATGTTATTTATGTCATGTAAGGATACGATATGCCTTAACAAGTAAACACCGGCACTGTACATTGTGTATACACTGATATTATTATGCTAACGTATTACGGTCTGTATAGTGAGCCAGTTAGCCAAGGGTAATGTAGCCACACACACACACACACACGCACACACACACACGCACACATTATTGAGTCCAGCTTGCAGTGGCGCACACACTGATACTAATCTCAGCTGTTTTTTGACGTTTTACAGTTTTCTTTCACAAATACTGTAAATATAACCTGCAGACATGCAGGATGTGGAGGACCTTCAGAAACTTCTGCTCCAGAAACACGACGCAGGTATGCAAAATTATAAAAAAAAACAACAAGTCACAGCGAACCAAGTTCTTTCTGTCAGCAGCCGCTTCATAAACATCACACAAACTGCTGAGTAAGCCTGCGAGGCCCAAACCATGACAGGATCAGAAAAAATGACTTTTGGCTTCTCTGTTATTGTTAGGTCTTTACCTCATAACATAAAGCGCCTTGAGGCAAATATTGTTGTGATTTGTCGCGATATAAATAAAATTGAATTGGAAATGGAAATGTGACTAGTTCGCAAAGTGTGTTAGCAGAATTATTAAACTTTTAATTCGACTGTGAAGATATCAGAGAACGATTTTAAAAAGTGAAAGTCCCATTGTTGATGGCGTAGATTTAGGGGTAATTATTAGTGATGATGGCTTTAGACATCACAGACAAACAGTCTTACGGCCGATCAGCTGGTGTGACGGTCGTTTGAGCCTTAAAATGTCAGAAAAAACTAAAATTGATTTTTTTTCTCCCACTGACAATAAAAAAATGTTCTAGACATATATTTATCACTTTTAAATATCCCTGCTATGATCACACTTTGGAAACAAAGAATTTGAGGACATCAACAATGACCATAACGTTATTGTTATTTAACTAACGATAAAATATTTTCTGCTTTCAATGAGTCTTCTGATTATTTTAGTAATAAAACATTTAACATAAGAAAAAAAGGCCAATAAATATACAAAAGCATGAGCTTCAAATATATTGACTCTATCAATACTAACGTAATTATAAACAGTGATAGTGTAAGCAATGATTAAAAAGTAAAACAAAGATGTTTGAGGACACAAATATTCAAACCTGTTAAAGGTTTTAAAATAATTGTATTTATAAGTGTTATTGTTATTTTACCAGGAGCTGCCTGAGACCAGGCTAACGATGAGCAGCGTGTAACCTCATTCGCTGCAGGTTAACATTAATAAACAGAGGGTCACAGATTTGGTCCTCGCCACAGCCGCCGCCCCCCCCTGCTGAAGTGTCCTTGAGTAAAACAAAACCTGAGATCTTTGCCGCCTTCATGTGACGGGGCTTCATGGTTAACATCGGGACACACGTGAGCAGTGTTGGGAAGGTTACTTTTAAAATGTATTCCATTACAGA